TGTTGTTCAGCATCTTAGCTGTGGAGGGCAGTGTCACTGGCCCTCATATGTGGGATCCGAACCGGGGCCCTCTGGCGTCCCAAGCCAGTTCTTAGGGATCGCGCCACTCGGCCGGCCCCTAAAGTGTATTTTAATTAATAGAAGAAATATATTTGTAACCAATGGTATAATATGGTATGCAATTTTATCTCATGATGTACATAAAAAGAAAAAGGCTAAGGACTTTTTTGCTAACTCATTTGTCTCGTCCATGGAACTTCGGGGGCTAGGCTCCAGGCAGGTGCAGTCTTCCATTTATCTGTGTATTCCTGGCACACAGCAGGAGCTTAGCAAGTACTTAATGGATGAACAAATAAACACACTTTATATAGCAACTGCAATGTCAAGTATAAGAAATTCCATAGGCATTTCCATACAATATCAGTAAGGTTTATAATAATATAAATGTAGCTTTTTCTAAGCAGAGGAGGGAAATCTGACTTCATGGGCATTTTTTTTTTGTTATGAGATACAAATATCAGTAATTTTCCACCTAGAGTCTCTTGAATTAATAATCTAAAATTTGGGTTAGTTTTAGGATTCAACAGATGAGCCATTATTTCTTTACTGAGAAATGATACTATAAAAACTGTGCTGAAACAGCTCTTAAGGCTTTCTTGAAAAGAAGTTTGTTTTAGCTACAAGCAATCAAGCAAACAAACAAACAAACAAACAAACACAACAAAAATATCAGTATGGACTTCCTTATGGAAATACTTGCAAGACACATTCCCCCAAGTATGCAATCTTCAGAGCCCACTAATTTTGTTCTCTTAGAATTCTGTATATAACACTTCTTTAGATGGTATTCTCAAGTTAATAGTACAAAGGCATTTAGAAAGGAAACAACAACAAAAATGCTAATCCTTGTACGTCTGGCCCCAATTCCGAGAAGAGACTGTGGCTTTGAACACCAAAAACAAATTTGCTTCATTTGGTCCCAGAGAGCAGGACCCAGGCCTTCTACTTTTCTGAAACTCATCTTAAAATGCAAAAAATGGTTCTTTAATATGAAGCATTTCAGGTAAAAAAAAAAAAAAAAGTCAAAATGGACACACCTATTGATTCGGTGTGCGTTTGTATCTCCTGCATGCCCTGTGTAGAATCATGTAGGCACTGAAGGAAATGAAAAAGAAAGACCAAGTTCCTGGACCCGAGGACCCTGCCGCTCATGCTGTGAGTTAAACAACGAACGAAGTCCGTGGATAATTAAATACCATAAATTACGTGATTAGGGCAACCCTGTAGGATAAAGAAAGTGCAAAGAGGAATATCAGTGTGAGGTGAAGCAGTAATGGATGGTCCTGGGAGAATGAGTACAATTTGAAAAGGCAGAGAGACAGAGAGAGAGAGAGAGAGCAAGGTATATTATATAGGTGGCGACAACAGAGGCAAATAAAGCTTGGACCTGGAATGACAGCGAACAAAAAGGCGACTAGCCTGGCAAGGAATTACACCATCGCTGTAAAGAAAGCAAGAGCACACAGATAGGAAGCATTTTGAAAAGCGTGACAAAGGGAGTGGATTTAATTCACTAAGCGATGAAGATCAAGTAAATGAAAAGACAACCTGCAGAATGGGAGAAAATAATTGCAAATCATATATTTATAAGGGCAACTGTATCCAGAATGTATAAAGAACTCTTATTTTCAACAATAAAAACACAAATACCCAAGTAAAAAAATGGGCAAAGGATATGAATAAACATTTCTCCAAAAGGGATATGCAAATGGTTATGAGCACATGAAAAAATGCCCAACATCATTAGCCAGCAGGAAAACGCAAAATAAAACGAGGTACCACTTTGCACTTACCAGGATGGCTATAATGAAAAAGACAGGCAGTAACAAGTGTTGGCAAGGATGTAGAGAAACTGGAAACCTCATTTATTTCTGGTGAGAATCTACAATAGTGCAGGTACTTTGGAAAGAGTTAGGCAGTTCCTCAAAAAGTTAAACTTATGGGCTGGCCGAGTGGCACGATGGTGAAGAGTTGGCTTGGGACGCCAGAACTAAGCAGCAGAGCCCCGGTTCGGATCCCACATGGCCAGTGACGCTGTACCCTCTACAGCTAAGATGGTGAACAACAGCCTGACCTGGAGCTGGGCTGCTGTGAGTCGCTGGCGATGGCGTAGGCTGCCATGAGCTACCGTGAGCGGCCGGCAGCTGGCATGAGTGGCTGTGAGCCACCGTGAGCAGCCGTCCAGTGGCCGGCGACCAATCTGCCTCGCCAGGGAAGAGCATAATGATGATACCAACATGGGCCAGTGAAGTGATGTCCTCCACAACTAGACTGAAGAACAAAAGGACAGCAACTTGTCTGTTCCCCTCCCCCAATTCCCCAGTAAAATCTTAAAAAAAAAAAAAAGTTAAACTTAGAATTATCATATGACCCAGCAATTCCACTCCAAGTTATGTACCCAAGAGAACTGAAAACGCTGGCCCCCATAAGAATGTGTACACGAATGCTCGTAGCAGCATTACACATAATATCCCAAAGGGGAAACAGCCTAAATGTCCATCTGCTGAGGAATGGACACACAAAATGCGGTCTGTCCATATGATGGAAGATGACCCAGCCATAAAAATAATGCTATGACACGGGTCAGCCTTGAAACCATGCTCAGTTTTCAGAATGAAAAGTCACATACAGAATGATTCCACTTCTCTGAAATGTCTCAAATAGGCAAATCCATAGAGACAGAAAGTAGATTTTTTGTTGCCAGGGGCATGGGGTGAGGAGGAGTGGGGAGTGACTGCTAATGGATATGGGGTGGTGAAAATGCACTGGAATTAGGTGACTGATGCACAACCTTGTGAATATACTAAACACCACTGAACTGTACACTTTAAAAGAGTAAAATGTATGCTCCTCTATCAAGTGTTCAAAACACAACTCTAGGGCTGGCTGAGTGGCGCGATGGTTAAGAACTCGCTTGGGATGCCAGAGGGCCCCGGTTTGGATCCCACATATAAGGGCCAGTGACACTGCCCTCTACAGCTAAGATGCTGAACAACAGCTCAACCTGGAGCTGGGCTGCCNTAAAATTCTAGATTCAAAATTCCTTTACCAAATCAGCTACATTTTTTTTGTTTTAGCTGAGCCACCCTGCCACCTGTTGGCAGCTCAGCTCGGGCTGGGCATCAAACCTCTGTTGCTCAGAGCTCATACTCTTGAGTGAGCTCTTAACCAACTGAGCCACTCGGCCGGCTCTCAAATCAGCTACATTTTTACCAAATACAATCCAGGGGCGCCTACACTGTTGAGACAGCAGTGTCATGTCTTTTCTCATGTTAGTTTTCAAACTTGGGTTACACTTGAACTCGGGCATTGGATTTTGGTTGGTAAACGCTGAGTAAGCAATACACCGTAAACCTGGGAAGAAGGGTCACTCGTTCCAGTCCTTAGGAACACAGTGCAGACAAGTGGGATCTGGTTCAGCTACGCTCTCTCCACCTGCAAGACCAGGGACCGACCAGAGGGCCCAGTGGCCCTGACACTGCGGGCGCTGTTCCTGTGAATTTCTGGAGGACGAACGGCAGTGGTTATTGAGACATTAAAGGCATCTGAAGAGCTGAATCTTTCATAGGATGAGTGAATAAAGACCCGGGCCCTTTAGTTCTTTTGTTTGTATTTAAAATAGGTAAATACTCATAGAGAAAATGCATTTTCCTTCTTAAGCAGCTTCAATTTATAATCTAAAAATCACACACATAAGTGGTTTCCTAGCATTCAAAGGTTTGCCTTTGATTTAATTTGCCAACGCTGATATTTAACTAACTCCACCAAGTTTCATTTAATAAATATCAGACAGTTTACCTTTTCCTACACATATCCAACAAGAACACATTGAGTCCAGTTTCTTTTTCTTGCATTAATTTCAGTATATTCTGTACACATAGACAATTTTCAGACCTATATGGATTTGGGGCATCGACAGGGACCATGAAGCTGTTCCCAAAGTTTTCATAACCATGTCCTGCATAATACAATAATCCTAAAAGGAAATAAAGGGGTAAACGTTAATTCTAAATTGCACTCTGAACATATAGGCAGCACTCTTAAAAAAAAAAACCCCAACAAAACATGACTTTTATTTTCTTGAAGTTAATGAAAGCTTGTTTAAAAGATACCCAGTTATAAATACAGTCAAATGTTAACTAAATTTGCATTGAAAATTATTTTGACAACAGTCTTCATTTTAAGTACTATATTTTAAATCCACATTAAGATGCCATCCTAAAGTGTATTT